CTGGACATCGCCTGGCAATGATCAACTGCATGGCTTTTGGCTCAAATACCTGACCAGCCTGCGTGGAAAAATGACTGAACAATTCAATGAGATGCTGTAGACAGGAAACATCAGTGAATGGTTAACAGCTGGGAAAACCTACTTGATACAGAAGGATCCAGCAAAAGGGGCAACACCTGTAAATTAGAGGCCAATATCGTGTCTGCCAACCATGTTCAAGCTCCTGACTGGCATCATAGCTGACAGGATCCAGGACTACCTACAAGCAAATAACATCTTGCCAGTAGAGCAAAAAGGAAACAAATGAGGAAGCAGAGGCACAAAAGATCAGCTCCTGATCAACAAAATGATTCTAGAGAACTGCAGAAGCCGAAAAACAAATCTGCATACAACTTGGCTTGACTACAAGAAAGCATTTGATTCACTACCACACAGCTGGATCATCAAGTGCCTGGATGTCAACGGAATATGCAAGTGTACTGGTACTTTCACTGCAAATGCAACGAAGCACTGGAAAACAGGACTGTTTATTGGAAGTGAAAGCTACGGACTGGTCAACATCAAAGGATGTTGGATAGGAAAACAAGAAAACTGATGACCATACACTATGTGTTGCACCTGCATAGTGACGTCGATAGGCTAAATTTGCCCAGAAAAGCAAGGGAGTGAAGTGAAGCAGACAGTCGAAGAAGAGAAACATGCTCTGGCAGATTATGTGAAAGACAGTATTGAACCAGCTTTGATGGAGGTCAACAAGAGGAAGCTGCTCAAAGTGCAGCAAAGCAAGAATCAATATAGGAAAACAACGATACAAACTTGGGCTGACAGCTGGTGTAACAAAGCACTGCATGGACAGTTCCTTGAAAAGATCCAAGGAAAAGTAGATAAGGAAAAGACCTGGTTATGACTGACCAATGGAACACTGAAGAAACAGAAGGCCTGATTCTTGCAGCCCAAGAACAAACCATCAGAACGAAAGCAATCAAAGCCAGAATAGAAAAATCTGCTGATGACCCCAAATGCAGACTCTGCAAAGAAGTGGATGAAACCATCGATCACATACTGAGCTGTTGCAAGACTATTGCTCAGACTGATTACAAACAACATCACAACACAGTGGCTCAGATGGTCCACTGGAACTTGTGTCACAACTACCATCTATCTGCCTGTAGCAAAGAACTAGTGGGATCATAAGCCTAAAAAAGTGGTTGAAAATGAGCATGCAAAACTACTATGGGACTTCCGAATACAGACTGACAAAGTTTTGGAACACAATACCCCGGATATCATGATTGTGGAGAAGAAAAAAGTGTGGATCATCGACATTGCCATACCTGGTGACAGCAGAATCGACAAGAAACAACTTGAAAAAGTCACCAGATATCAGGACTTAAGAATCGAACTGCAGAGACTGGCATAAACCAGTATAGGTGGTTCCACTTGGCACACTGGGTGCTGTGCCTAAAGATCTAGGAAAGCACTTAAAAACAATTGGCACTGATAAGATCACCATTGGTCAATTGCAGATGGCCACCTTACTGGGATCTGCTCACATAATCCGCCAATACATCACACAGTCCTAAACACTTGGGAAGTGTTCAATTAATGATTTGTGATATGAAACCCAGTATAGTTATCTCATTTGCTGTGTACACTGTCATTTTTGAATAATAATAATAATAATAATAATAATAATAATAATAATAATAATAATAATAATAATAATAATAATAATAATAATAATAATAAT